CCAACTCTGCATCTAGATGACTGACACTAACTCCCAGGAAGGAAAGTACAGAAACCAGACTAGGCAGCTCCCTTTTACAGCTTTCTGAGCAGCACCAGCCCACAGCAGAATGTCTGTGGGCACACCACAGCAGTATGTGTGCACAAGCTTCAGTTACTACAGTACACAAGATATACACCAAAATAATGCCTACTGGTACTGTCTCTCCCGACAGCTTTCTTTTTATTATATATGCAGAGATTTGGTAATACATACTACAGATCATCTGCACACTTAATTTCAGGCAAAGATTAAAGAACAGTCAAGGCTTACATATATGCTTCTCACTTATTAACCTGCTAAATTATAAATTATAAATCAGTAAGCACCCTACTATACATGCACTGTCATATAGAGGGTCATGTCTCATTTCACTAGTAACTACCATTAAGTTTATGTATTTGAGAAAGTCACTTTTCACACCAAAAGCATTCTAAAATGGCATCCTCAAAATGCATACTGTCAAACAGCTGACCGAGTATATTTTACACTAAAAAAATACTGAAGAGCCGTGCAAATCGATTTGTTTAATCTCTGTAGACTTCAGTTCAAATTCTGCTTAAGTCACAAGTACAGAAGAGCCTAGTGAGCTCATCCTTGCACCCAGAGGGAATGTTTGTGCCCATTACAAAACCACTACACAATCTGACTGTGTCTCTTCTCAAATGAGGCCAACACGAAAAGCAGGAAGCACATCAGCCAGAAACGTGAGGGCAACAGAACTGTGTCATGATATTAAGGCCAACTGCAGCCAGCAATGTCATTTTCAAAAGCGCTTCACTTGTCTGGGAAAAAACAAGTTACATGAAATAAGGTATGAAAAGCACGACTTGTGTCTAAACAACTGAACAGAGAGAAGAAAGTAAAAGGCATGTCATTTTGCACGATGTTTTAACATTTTACCTTAGCACTATCAAGCAAAACAAATGAGATATCCCATTAATATCTTTTGTGTTCCACAAAGGCTGTCAAAGCTTGCAGATGCCAGCAGAACATGTTCTAATGATAATACCTAGTAGAGAATAGTTTCAGCTTTATAACATTTTTGCTGGCAGGGAGTGAGAAAAAAAACAAAAAAACAAACCACTGTTCAAGGCTGCCTTAGAAGAGCTGCTCTGCTGAAGTGAAAACCCTGAGTTTCCAAAGCTGCTACATGTAGCAATATCCTTTTTTATGTGCTCCCTGCTCCAAGCATTCCAAGAGAAACTGACCTACCCTGCAGAAAGGGGAAAAGGGAAACCTGGTAACAAGAGATGATTCATCCACTTCTCCCTAACTGGAATACTTCAAGTAAAGATTTACAAGATTAATCTCCGCTATTGAGATTTTTTTTACTGAAAAATACTACTTAAGACAACATCATATAGAGTTTATGACTTTCAAAGTTTGAGAATACCCCAATTAAAGAAAAGCTTTGCCATTACAACTTTTTTTTGCCACTGAAGAATCCCAATCCAGTTGACAATAACCATTAGATAGTTGACATACCTTCAACATTTACATATCCATTTAGAATCATTTAAAAATTTCCATCAGAAAATTAGTCATAATGCAACTTCATTAAAGAACACTCCAAAAGTTATGTTTAGTCTACTCTGCAAAGTAAAATTGTTTGGGCAGACTTTAGCCCTACTTATCCATTATGAAATATTTTCTCTGAAAGAAATATTTTATCAAAAAATAGATTTTTTGCTAAACAAGTTAGCAAAGCATTGTCAGTTTTGACCTGTGGGTCCTATATTCCTAGGAGTCCCGATTGATGGATTATTTCTTTTTCCTGCCTTCCCAGTTATATACGCATAGAAGAAATAGGCCAGCAAAGTTAAAGGAAGTGCTTCCACACACACCCTCAAATTTTGGAAAGTTTCCAACATCCCTTCTTAAAACTTGATGTGTATAGCATTAAGTGATTTTATGATAAGACCAAAGGAAAAGTAGCAAGCTAACCTGCTGAATTGAAAAGGTTATCAACTAGGAGCAGCCTACAAGAGAATCTCTTATTATTGCTTAAGCATTTTTGTTCAATCCAGGTAGCTTTATACCATGATTACACAGCTTTTCTTTCAACAAAAAGTCTCCTCACACTAATCCTATAATCTAGATAGAAATTTTAAGTAGCTGCCTGAGACCACCTCAATTACAGGAATCAGGAAAATGGAGCTGGTTTCCTCACAGGGTGCCATTCAAGTGGGGTGAGGGAAAATCCTTAATAAAAAGGCCTAGAGTTGCCCTACTTTTCACCCAGCTCTATTCCTCACCCAAACAGAGCTGCAATCTCCATGGACTTAAATAACATCAAGTATTAGGTGATAACAAGACACACAGACATAAAGGAGGGGCCATAACAAGATGTATTCACAGAACATCCCATCTCTATATGCTGCATACAATACTTTTTAAATGTACCTGCTGAGATTTACAGTGGCTATGACCCCTTGGCCCAAAGGATCAAGCAGAACATTTTTATTCACAGACACAGTTTTACCTTCAAGCTATTTTGCTATTTTACCACTTAACGGCTTGAGCAACTAGTTCTAGATCCTAGACCTACAAGCTAGTTTTAAGACACAAAAGCTGTCTTTTCTCCTCCAAACCTTCTCAGGCTTTAGCCTAGTTTAGCAACATTCCACTTTTTCTTCCATCAGAAGTACCTCAGCCTAAGTTGAAGATATATTGGATGTTTTGATAAAGCTTTGATCTTGTTAAGTCTTGCTAAACGACCCAAAAGGTGACTATAGCATACTTTCAGACAGCTAGTGTAAAAGAATGCACAAATAAAAGGAAAGGCACTTTTTTTAAAACAAACAAACAAACGAAAAACCAACACACACACACAAAAACAAACAAGTTTCTTACTATATAGTACAAGTCAGCTTTAAGTTAGCAAGGCTTAAGCAATGGTCCTACACAGAAGAGTTGCACAAGAGCAACAGGGTTGAACCCCTTCTGAAAGGGCATTTCAAGAAATCTCTCACAGCTATGCAATCATGACTAAAAGGTAAAGCAACTGTTACTGCTCTGGCCACATTTTTAGAACAGCAATCATTCAACACTCACACTATCTCCTCCCTCTGCCAACGCTCTTTTCATACGAGACCAATATTTCTTTTTCTAACTTCAGTTTCCATGAAAGCCTGCTTGCAACTGTACTAATATTCTCAGTTTGGTCTATGCTCTAACAGATTCTCCTTTCTGCACAAAGGAAATGCTTATTCAACCTAACCTGGTATTTGAACTTGTCTTTCATGGATTTCTGCACTAGAAGGTTCCCTCTTGAAGAACTTTTCCAACTTTTTTTTCTCCTGTGCTATGCAGAGCTAGTGCAACCACTTCTGTTAACAAGTTCTCCTTGGTACAAATTCTTCTGATAAGTGTTTTCTCTGTAACCATATGTTGAATCAGCACTTTCTTTTCTGAAGGAACTATAAGCATCTGTCACCTAGAACAAACTCCCACTCATGGATAAAAGCTGTGTCTTAGTCTTTCAAATATTCTCTGGAGACACTTCTACTGTAATGAAATTCCTGTTGATAGCTTGCCACTATCAGACAGTTATTCCATATAAAGAAGTATTATACAATTTAAAAACAGGTTTGCTACCATTAGCCCCTCCCTTTCGAACAATTCATCATTAATGCAGACAAATATGCTTCAATAAAGAAACTGATTGCATAGTTTGTTTAGCATTCAAATCAACAGGAACCCAATAGCCATTCACCGACTTAAACATTAATTTAAAATAGACTAGTCTTATACTTTTTTTGAAGATACCTATTTTACTAATGCTTCACAGTGTTAAGAACTTCTTTGGAACAAATGAATTCATTACTTGAAATATTCGTTATTAATGAAATAACATTAAGGACTATTGCACAAGAACAATCCACTCAACACACCTATATGATTGGCTCCTAAAACTATACCACCTATTCGCCTATACCATTCATCATAAAAAAAATCCTTTTTCCTCTATCTCCCCCTTTTCACAGGTTTAGGGCAAAATCAAAGGCATGAATTACAAAGGCTGAGAGTGCATAAAACACGGCCTGCTAGCCCACAAAGCTAAATAAACTTCTGTGCATTTTTTCCTGTAACTCAGTTGTCCCCCCCCCCCCTTAAGTTTTAGAACTACATTTTCTTACCTAGTTCAGTAACTTGTCAATCAAAAGGACAGTGAACTGCTCTACCATGAAGGGGGAGCCGGGTCAGACAATCATGGCAGACTATGTGGCCCCACAAAAGCAACTGGGGAACATTGTCACCTTGAAACAAAAACACATCTTCGCAGACTCTACACTCAAGAACCTGTAATTCAAAAAGAGACTGTATTTGCTTCCAAGTTGATAGAAAAATCAAGCTTCCTAGGTGAAGTAATTTACTAGCAACGTATTTTAGAATATTTCCTGTAGCCCTGCCAGAGCCACCCCAAAACTCTCCCAGGCCCCCACTGAAACCGAAACTCGTGCCCCCTCACCAGACCCCCAAGTGGCATCCAGCCCAACACTGGCCTCGGCGCTGTTTACACCTAGCGCTGCCATCTTTGGGAGGGCGGAGCCCTGCACCTGCCGGCAAGAAGGGGCAGGCGAGAGCACATATCATCCCAGCTAAGGGAGCTGTGCATGCATTCTCTCTCTGCATCTGCGGCCCACTCCAGAGAACAGCTGTTCCTGTGGTGCCGTCCGATGCTGCCCTGCCTGGGGCCTTGCAAAGATTGCGCATCCCAGCATGCGCTGCAACGGTTCCCTTGGAGGCTCCGCTGCGCACCTGCTGCGGGGCGTAGAAGGCAGCATAATGCATTCTGGGCGCTGCAAGTTCCTCTCGCTGGTGAAATGCACCCTGGAACAGCTGTGCTAGGCTCCCGAGCGTCGCTACTTTGTGTCTGGTAGCCGCACGTGATTTGCCCCTGACAGGGATATTTTGGTCTGACTGCTCTGTTGTAGGTGGTGGTGGGGGTTGATGCTATGGATATCAACCAGCCCAAGCAGGAGCACTTTCTGGCTCTGAAAGGTAATGAGGAATCGCCCCGCATTACGTGGGGCCGGGACCGCTCGGGGAGGGCGGAAGAACCGGCTCAGGGGGACCCGGCTTGGGAGGCGGCGAGGCCCCGCACTGGACTGGGCCGGGCCGGGCTGGGCCCCGGCCTGCTGCGGCGCTAGTGGGTTCAGGGTATTTGTGTTTCTCACAGAGCAGTTCCATGGTTGCGGTGGGAATCTTTGTTATTAGGTTTCCTCTCTGGTGCAGAGAACTGCTGGTGCCGCTAACCCTCTGTCCAGTGCGTGGCTGCTGAATCCATTCAAGTGTCACAGCGGTAAAACTGAAAATGTAGATGCCTGTCAGGTACCTTGCAGAAATTAATGCAGAAATCCAGGCAAGAAATAGGAGGGGAAGTGCTATTTCCATAAGGCATTGATATCTGTGCTGGCAGTTCTGTTCAAATGAGTTAGCAATGAAAGCACTGAGAAGCATGAACCTTCTTTAATCTTATTTCAGTCAAATATGCTTATATATTTCTCTCTTTCTAACAGTGCTTTTTTTGGAAACGAATCAGTGAGACTATTCAGTGCACATGTGTAGGTGACTTCTGAATCTATTTCTGTCAATATAGTAGTTTTATAATGCTCCCAGAGTTTTTGTGCTGTCTGTTAAACTTGTTAATCATAATTCAAATATAATAATAAGCCTTTTCTTTTTCATATATGTGTGTACGCACATGCACTCAAAAACAACACCCCAGAACATGGAGCAGCTTCAGCCACCACTGCAGGTGCATGCTGATAATTCAAAGCTAAAACTCATTGCTTTGCTGTTGTGAAAAACCAAGAAAATCTTTGGTCTTGCATTGAACTTAGTGCAGGGTCCAGACTATAGATTTTGCAAATAGAAGTTAAAAGGTATCTGAATTTCTTTGCATTGTGTGCATCTTAAGCAGAAACTCGATGGTACAATGATTAAGCAATACCAGATTTTATTGCTTTAAATATTATTAGCCATTGTTGGTGTCTGCTGGGGAGCCTTGCCAGGACTGCAAGGGGGAATAAATTGCCTCCTGGGCAAGCTCCAGAAGTATGGGATAGATGAGTGCACAGTGAGGTGGATTAGGAATTGGCTGGATGGCAGAGCTCAGAGGGTGGTGATCAGCGGTGCAGAGTCTAGTTGGAGGTCTGTAGCTAGCGGTGTCCCCCAGGGGTCAGTCCTCGGCCCAGCCCTGTTCGATTTATTCATCAATGACCTGGATGAAGGCACAGAGTGCTTCCTCAGCAAGTTTGCTGATGATACCAAACTGGGAAGAGTAGCTGATACCCCAGAGGGCTGCGCTGCCATCCAGAGGGACCTGGACAGACTGGACAACTGGGCGGTGAAAAACCTCATGCATTTCAACAAGGCCAAGTGCAAGGTTCTGCACCTGGGGAGGAATAACCCCAGACACCAGTACAGGCTGGGGACTGACCTGACCTTCTGGAGAGCAGCTCTGCGGAGAAAGACCTGGGTGTCATGGTGGACGACAAGTTGACCATGAGGCAGCAGTGTGCCCTCGTGGCCAAGAGTGGAGTCTCCTTCTCTGGAGATTTCCAAAACCCGCTTGGACGCAGTCCTGTGCCACCTGCTCTAAGTGACCCTGTGTGTGCAGGGGGGCTGGACTAGATGACCTCTAGAGGTCCCTTCCAACCTTAAGCATTCTATGATTCTCTGATAAAAAGTTCAGACCAAAGAAGTGCATGTGCTTTATGTTATATTTCATAGTCATGTTTGTAGGGCTTAGGAGAAGGAAAACATAATATAATTTTCCCACAAAAGAAAGTAATGTCAATATTCTTAAGTATAAATTGTATCCTTAAGTCATTTGAAAAGAGTGTCTGCATGTATGGCTTGAAAGCTTCAAGAGTAAAACCCAGTTAGTAGTTCTGTTACAAAATTAATAAAAACAGACCCAAGTGCTGTTTGCCCATAGCACTTCCCCTTTAACAGTCAGTTATGCTTGTCAGTGCTATTTCATTAAGGGCTTTTTCATTGTTGTAACACCAGGTGTTGCTTTATATTCTCTTGATTAGCCTGTGGAAAATTTAATTTCTTTAAATAGATTTGAATGGCAAATCTGATATAATAGGTAGTGGTAATTGTGTGTATTATTAATGGGGGTAATATTTTAAATGAATTATTTTACTTTCGTTTCATACCTTGATATATGTGTTGGCAATATAGTGCCACATGTTTGCATAGTAATCTTTGGGAAAAGAGAATTGTGATTACTTCAGCATGGAAAATTTGAGATCTGAGGCAGTTTCTGAGATGTCCTTAACTGGAAAAAAAATCATTTTAATATAACTGCAAAGATATGACAGGAATAATGATGGGTCTTAGTGGGTGACAAGGTTGAGATGGTGGCAGTGAAAGGAATACTCATGGGAGGGAGAGCACTAAGCAAACCATGTGTGTTTGGATCACATTATGTACTGAAGCTATGCTGGCAATGATGGGATATAGGCACAGCACAAGTAAAGTAGAAATGTTCTGATAAGTCTCACTATTTTTACATGTTGCTTTTTTTACAAAATATCCTATCAATATGTTTCTTTGTATGGTAGTATCTTATTCTTTATAATACTTTTGCTTTAGGTCCTGTTTTCCACTGGTCTTTGCAGCACGAAGCAAGGAAATTCTTGTAAATAAGATGTTTTTCAGTCTAGATTTGAGAATCCTAATCGAGAGACTGTTCCTTTTCCATGCTTGCACTGCAGAGATTCAATTATTTTTAGGAAGTGGTCTTGCATTATCGAGTACACCAGAGAGATCTAAGGAAACTGCAAACATTTGCAGAAGCAGCAATGAAGGAGTTTCCCACTCATCAGTTACCAAGATTCACACCTTGGTTTCCAAATGATTTATACAGACTTACCCTCAAACCAAAAAGGCAGCCACCTGTTATCTCTTGTGAGGAAGCAGAAGTGAAACAACTTTTTACAGCTTCAGAATACATGGTAGGATCTCCTGATTATGACTGCACAAAAAATCTCCTTGAGTTTCAGTCTAACATGAGACATGGGCAGACTTTAATCCAAGCTCTTCACAGACCAATTAACATGGAGAATCAAGAACAACCACCACTTAATGGGAAATAAAAATTGAAAAGGTTTTGGTGTGTCTCTCTCCCTAGTGCTAAGATCAAAGAAAAGATTCTTCCTTTGTCTGAAGAGGTACAGAATAATTTGGAAAGACTGAAGCTGCATGCATTTTATAGAGCAAAGTGGACAATTGAACGGTCTATTTGCACTAACCAGACTTTGGAGGACATCTGGGTAAAACTGAATAGGCTCATCAAACACAATAAATTGCCATTTTGCAATGCAACAATCCAAAGATAGGTAGAGTTCCATAATAATATTGTTCTTTGAAGTACTAGAGTTTTTAAACAGATTTGAAAATACTTTGGAATAACCTATGAATGAAAGAGCAGGAAACTATTTAATATTATTTTGTTACAATTTTTCTTTATTTAACTTTATTGAGTCAGGAATCTTGAGTGCTTCTATTGGGATTGGTGTGTTTCTGTTTGTTTTAGATCTGCATTTATGTAGCTTTTTTCTACATCAGGTGTCTAGGGAAAAGGTCTATTGTTTCGACTGCTACAGCAAGTGTGTCAGATAATAGAAGTTATTCTTTCAGTCAAGCCAAATGCTTCCTCACTGTGCTGTTTTGGATGAAATTAGAAAGAGAAGGAAAGAATACTGTGAAATGGATTGTTATTATGACTTTAAAGAATAGTGGTTATATATATATATATATTTTTTTTTTCACCAAGATTGTGAGCATTTGCTGCAAGTCGTCATTTTATGAAGGAATTGAAATTAAATACATTAAATAAAAATGTTAAATACAAGAATTAAATAATACTTTACATTCCATTCTAACACTGTCTTAATGATGATACTAGTATTTTTGCAGAAATATTAATGAAAGTTTCAGTGCAAGCTGAATGCTTTAGAATAGTGGATGTCTTTATTGCTTTCTATTTTACAACTTTTCTCATACTATTTTTTTTCTGAGGTTGCTGATATGTGACCTGTGGTGAAGCCTGTAGTTGTTGTAGGGAAGAAGAAAGCAGCAACTTCCACCAGCATGTCAGGAAATTAAAAATTTGGGCTTCTATCTATAAATCTCTGTTGTTTTATGGAGGGTAATGGTCTCTGGGGATCTGAATGCATGTTTTGGTGAAAGGCTGAATTCAGTGTGACTTTTTGTCATCTGAAAGAATAAACCTGTCAAGGTCACACAGTCTGTGCTCACTGCCATGTGTGGAAGATCAGTGGAGCAAGTAAATTGGTAGCCATATAATTGCATGGGTCTGTGTTTCCCATAGAGAATCCTATTAGATTAGATTTCCCTCCATATAATTCTTTTGTAGCTGGAGATAAAGGTCTGTCTAGAAAAATGGTAAGAAAAATGGTCTAGGTCATCTAGGAAAATGAAAATAGTGAATGAAGATCATTGAATTGTCAAAGTTGGTTTCATCAAACTGAAGTGCACATAAGTATAACCTCTAAAGACCCCACGTGAAAACTAAATACCCCCCCCCCCCCCCCTCACGCTTCCATACCAATTTTTTTTGCTGTCCTTATGTTGGAATAACAATATTTTGTTGTAGAGATTACTTACTGCTTCACAGTTCAAAATTTATGGCATTGCCCATGTTTGATTCTTGGCATGTGTTTCTAAACTTTGAATGTTCAAGGAGTCTGATACTGTTATTCAAGACTTTTATTTGAGATTTAAGATGAGCTGTTAGCAAAATGGAAGTGAAATGCTGGCTAAAGTAACTCAGGGTTGTTATTAAGTTATTTCACTGAATTTTTTGTCGAATCTTAAAGATTAGAGAACAAAGTTACAAAGTTACCTTTTACAGTCAGATTTTAAAAAGAATAAATAATGCAGCATGTTTTTTAGTTAGTGTTTTATTTTCTATTTATGTTCTTAAAAGAAAAGCAAGATTTGTTAAGCAAGAACAGGTAGTCCTGCAAGGATACTGTATTTCCTAATATTAATTCAGTAATGATAAAATGATGTTCTACCTACTTAATTTATGTGTTTTGATTTAATGTAGAGATATTTTTATTTATTGCTGTTTATTGCTCGTATCCTTGTTTTAGGCATGTTATTAAACCTGAACAGCATTTCTTTCTTTAGAAAGAGTTAGCAAGTACTAATTTATGAGTTTGCTGTGGAATTGAATACAATCAGGTAGCTGTCAGTAATGTAGCCCCCTTCTGTTTGCTTAAAGCACCCGGAACAGAGGTTAAAAAAAATACATTTTGCCAAATACCAGCAGTTATTGATGTCCCCTTTCCCAGTGGTGGCCTTCAGCTTTCTGCCATTAGGTTTGCTTGTATCTGAATAACAGTCCATGCACTGCAGAGCAGTAAGAAGTGATCACATTATTTTCTTAATAAAATTATTACAGTATTAGGTAGTGCCAATGTACAAGCTGAAACACGGCTTCATCTTGACATGTTTCAGGAAGGCTTAGATCATTTGCATATATAATTAATTATATTTCTTTTTCAAGTTTCAGTGTTGAATCTGATTCTCTATTTATTCTGTTTTTTGTTTATTTGGAGGCTTTTAATTACCTTCGTTCTAAGCCTTTAGGCCAAGTTTTTCAACATTTCTCCATTACAAAGATAATGTATTTCCTTCTACTTGAAAGCTGAGATAGGTTTTTGTGCGAAGCAATGGGCAGCAGTATTTCACCATAACTTACGCTACCCTAGAGAAACCTATACAAGTTTGCTATCAGCGACATTAGCCTATCAGAGCAACTGATTATTTTACTCAACTGGAAATAGTGAATGAAGACATAGTGTGCAAGATGGCACAAAAGTACAATAAAGATAAAAGTGCAGTATGTGGTTTGGAACTAGTCTGTTCATTAACTTGTGCTCAAGAGAAATCCCAAGGTTCATTTATTTTCAGAAAATTTATGTTTTTATATTTTCAAAGTTCAAAGAAAAAATAATCAGTGATTATTCAGATCAACACGTAAGGTCAGAAATGCTCAACTTTCATGCGAGTGCTTTCATCTGAAGGTATATGCAAGATCAGGACCTCTGATTTGTACGAATAGGGAGGAATTCTTTTAAGAAGTAACATTTCTTAGGTACAGTATACATTTAAATCATGTAATTTTGAGTATCATGGGTTAAAATAGCCTTGCAAATTCTACTTTCTTGGAATAGTGACTTTTTAATAATGGATAAAAATCTCAATTTTATACTGCCAGTATTGATAGTTTTTGTAAGAGGGTTGCCAAGTCTGTTGTTATTGCTTTGCTTGTTTAATTTTAAAATTGTGCCTAAAAGTAAAAACAGGTGTCTGATCTGGGATCTTGAACCTTTCACTCTTTTGCATATGTTTTGGAGATTAGATGGTAAACGGAATTTCATGTATAATGGAGTGCATGACTGAAAGGGTCCTCATTGATAATTAACCTGGAAGAGTTGAAACCATGTTTCTACAGAAGGCCACAAAACTGTTAACACTGTCCTGTAACACATACAAGACCTTTAACGTACTAATTTGAAAGCCATATAAACTGGTGTGTCAAGGAAATGAAGCAAAAAGAGCAATAGGCTGTTGGATCTCACAATAGCAGAGAATTTTGTTAGGTTGAAAATAACCTGAGCCAAAGAGGTTTTACCCTCTTTCACACTGAGGTTTGGTCCTTTTGTCTCTCACTCTTGTGAAAGGAGAGCAATTTTTAAAATCCCAAGATGGATACTCATTTCATTGACCCTTGGTTTGTTTTCTGATTCACAATGATGAGGCTAACCAAGCCTACTTTATTCACTAATATGCTGGTGACTTGTGAAGAAAGAGATTTGCCAGGTATGTCTTCTCTACTGGTTGTTATCTGCATATTAGCAGATTTGTGCCATGTGAGCATCTGTGGTTTAGATGCCAACAAGAACTCATCTCCCATAGTTTATAAATCTCCCATAGTTTGTAATCTGAAATGATAGTATATTATATGAAATAAATATTCCTTTAGTAGTAGCTATAGGTGCTCCTCTAAAACCCCTCACCTGCAACTTTTAAAACTCAGTGGGTATACTGTAAACATACAACCTCAAAATTTGAGTGATAAGACATAATATTCCCGTAAAATACGGGCACGGTGGGGAGCATATATGTGATTTAGTGCGGATAGCGGCTCTAAGATGGACAAATGCACAGACAAGAGTTTGGGCTTGGTCATCTTCATCTGGAGAAAACAGCCTTGCTAGGTAGAACCAATATATTAATGCTCAGACTATGGAAAATGATTTTGCAAGAATTATTGCTAAAGTATTACTTTATGCTTGGTGTATAGAGAGCTGTTAAATCGGGAGTTCATGGGTTGTTTCTCAGATGCAGTCTAGAAGTCAAGTATAAGAAAGAGGCAAGGCATGAAACAAGAAAAGAGAATTCTGTTGAAGTACAAAGCAAGCAAGGAAAAAACTTAAGTGGGAATGGCTAATTCTATTGAGTTGCACTTTTTACAAGCAGAATTTCCCTTAAAAGCTCAATGTTAATTTCAACAGCACCTTTGGGATGGGGTTTTCAACATGTATACAGAGTGCTTTATTGGGCAGAGATGCCTCGAAGTAAATTATAATTTATAAGCAGTCATATAGAGCTGCCTTTTTTTTTTAATCAATTTATTCGGGCATAGATTAAAATATGTCTAAAATAGATTGCATCTAAATAAGTAGTTAAATGTTACAACTTGCATGTAGACATGGTGCTAGACTTGAAAATATTTTGATTTTAACAATTTCATTTTTCTACAGGTAATCTATTTAACCAGATCATGAAAGATCATCCTTCTACTGTAAATGGAGCAGAAACTTTGATGCTAGGAGAAATGCTTACTTTGCCTCAAAATTTTGAGTAAGAACAACTTAATATAACTGCAACATATGACATACCAGGTTTGCTTTTTACTTTTTATGAACATATACTGAAGTAATACAGTATAGAGTAATATAGTGAAGTGCTCAGTGTTTATTTTATTTTTTTTAAGACTTTTAAACTTCTGTTTCTTAACTTTGTGCATTAAATAAGATATAAACCTATGCTGGATAGTGTTAGTTGTCTCTAGCTTGACTGTGTCTGTAATGGGAACTGAAAGTTGAGAGAAATTTGTGACTGTGGGTGAATTTTTACAGTGCTATTTTTACAGTGCCATAACTGCAGTTCTAACTAACAAGATGTACTCCAGTGATTTTAGCGGCTACTGAAAGCCATCTTATTCTGTTCAGGTTGGTTTAGCAAAGCTTTCTGATATGTTGGTTCTCCTTTGAAATTGTTTCTCTTGGAAGTTTGAAGTGTAGCAGTACAAATGTGAAACTGCCAGTATAACTTAGGACTTGAGAGCAATCTCTTAAGCTATTCTCATGTTTAACTCTTAAGAGGAAATCTGTTGCCTTGTGGATACTGGAAAAAGAAAAAAAGAGCAAAAAAAAACCCTAAACCCCTCACCTGTGATTCAAGCGGTATTTTGACTACGTGTGCTCTCAATGCAGTAGGGTTTACTGTGGCTTCTATGCAATTCTCTTTTGTGGACTTTATAGGCTACCTCTATGTGGCATTTTAAGAACTGGAGTGGGTAATTGGTATAGACAAAGTTCCTGAAATTGAACTTAAAGAGGTTTTAGTGGAATGTTCTGTTTTTTGTTGTTGTTTGTTTGTTTTTTAATAATAATTGCTAAATATACCTAAATATACTCTTTTTTAACAGAAATATATGTCTGGGAGAGATGTTTTCCAGTTACATTAGTGTACATAATGATAGTAATCAAATTGTCAGGGACATATTAGTAAAGGTATGTGAAAATACATCTACTTCCTAGATTATAAAAAATGTATTGGGCATGTTTTCTGACAGAATCTGGTGCAATTAGCACTGATGCATAGAGTTGAGGAAATATCTGCCACATTTTTTCCAATCCAGAAAATACTGCTGGTAACAAAAAGACATAAAAATAAAGGACTATAAAAATCTTCAGCCATTAAAATAAGAAATTGAGATTGTATCAAAAAATGAATAGGCTGTAAAGCTTCTCTAAAGAATAAGCGTGGCATAACTTCCATAGCCAAAGAAAATTGTCAAAGCTGTGTTCTATACTGGTTGCACTTTCAATGGTATCATCAGAGCAAGTCTCTCTAAAACACATATTGATTTATATTTTACTTGTATTTCAAATTAGTTCGAATAGTTTTTTTTTGTTTGTTTGTTTTGTCAAATAATACATTGAGATTAGAAATTCTACAAATGTTTCACACTGTGGAACTCAAAAGTAAGTGGAGGTTTTGTTAGCTGCATGTTAAGAGGGATTGAATTCTTTATATATATTTTAAATTTTTTCTTTAGCATTGTCAAATTACACATCTAAGTTGCTTTACATGTGTGAAAGCATACAGGGTACACATCAGTCCATGAAATCTGGTACTTTTCAAAACCAAGTTGTTTTTCTTTAGAGTACTTTATGGAGCTGTGTTTATAACCAGTGCTTTGTTTTTCTATTCCCAGGCTGATCTTCAGACAAGTTCTCAGCGCTTGAATCTTTCAGCTTCTAGTGCGGCAGTGGCAGAACTCAAACCAGACTGTTGTATTGATGATGTGATTCATCATGAAGTAAAGGAAATAGGAACACACATGTAATATCTTTAAATCTTCTAACTTGTATTTTTCTATGATTTTTTTAGATCATTACATACAATCAAGCTTAAATTAAGCTGCAGCATATGAATACTAAACTGTTTCTACTTTGATAGAGATATGCAATCTAGTTCAAAAAATATTTTAAAATCTTTTTCTTTCAGCTTAGTTTGTGCAGTAAGTTACACAGATGGGAGAAAAGATGTACTTCAGAAAGTTCTTGTTGGGGCCTTGGCGATTTTGCAAGAATATGAGGAACTGAAGTAATAGGATTCAAGGTCACCCGGAGGAGAAGATAACGCTTGTTAGCAACTTTTAATGAACTAAGCCAGCCACAACCAGATAAGCGTCCGGGAGGCCCAGCAACAGAGCATCGAGAAGAACACCAGTCAGCTGCAAGCTAGTTATGCATGGATACTATAGTCCAACCAATGGGAGTGCTGTTGCTTAGCGCGTGTCCACGTGTACAGATGTTGGAATTGTATAAAGCTACGTAGCAGACAATAGTAAAGCAAATCGAACCTGCTTCACATTGAAGTGTCGTTCATTCCGTCTCACGATGGTGGACATCGGCAAGTTCGGTAAGTGTGAGCTGTTTGTGTTTGAATGTGTTTGGGTGTGTGCTTTTGGCTTAGACTGTGATCTCAAAGGCCGATTTAATTGACTTACTGCTGTTCTGTAGAAGGAGAGGGCTCATGGCGGAAGCTCCTCAGGTATACAAGCTCGAGTCATGGG